TTTGTTTCTTATAAGACGAGGGGTTTCCGCGTGTTTGCCGAGGATGCGGGTCTCCCGATCTCCTTGGGGGGGGGCGGGGAAACCTCGTGATCCGCCCGTCCCGGGCCATTCCAAGTGCTGGGATTACAGGCTTGAGCCACTGCGCCTGGCCTTTCTTAGCTCTTTACTTGAATATAAAATAGAATTGACACGCCTACATTTTTGCTCTTTAATTTATATTTTAATTATAGTTGTTTTTGGAATTGTAAAGCTAAAAATAAAATTTAAAAGAACTATCTGCATCCCAGGCTTAACATTTTTTTCTACCTCTTCATTAAATTATTAATGAATAATTTCATTCTGCACAACACCAACAGAGTAATCTTAGTAAAATACCATTCTGATGTCCATTCTCTGCTTTAAAATTTTGTTTATTTATTCTCATAAATATTTGTTGATATACTGGTAGTCAGTATTTAAATAGTTATAAGTATAAGGTGAAAAGGTGGAATAATTTTTTACTCCTATTATGGAATATATATGTTTATTGTTATTATTATTATTATTGAGACGGAGTCTCGCCCTGTTGCCTAGGCTGGAGTGCAATGGCACAATCTCAGCTCACTGCAACCTCTGCCTCCCAGTTTCAAGGGATTCTCCTGTCTCAGTGTCCCAAGTAGCTGGGATTACAGGCATGAGCCACCACGCCTGGCTAATTTTTTGTATCTTTAGTAGAGACAGGGTTATACCATGTTGGCCAGGCTTGTCTCGAACTCCTGACCTAGTGATCTACCTGCCTCGGCCTCCCAAACTGCTGGGATTACAGGCGTGAGCCACCGCACCCAGCCATGTTTATTATTATTGTCAGCTTCTTTGCTATTATGAACAAGTGCAAGGTTCCAAGTACAAAATATCTTAATTTTCATGGTTTATTAAATAACATAATGTCAATGCTTAGATGTCTCTTGTCATCATTTGACATACCTCAGGGTAGTTTTCTTTTTGTTATTCCCAACATTTTGTAGAAAAGGTAAGCTAATATATTAATATATTGATTAATGCATCTTTAGTAACTGTGTATATTTAGCTCTCAATGTAAAATTAATTTTGCTTGTGTTATCTAATTGAATTAAATCCTCATAAGAAATCTGTGAGATAAATGTGAATATTGCCGTTTTACAGATGAAGACATTGAGGCTTAGGAAGATTGAATGAATTGTCAAAGATTTAATAGTTGGCAGAGCTATAATTTGAATCCAGATTTTTTTTTAATCCCAAAACTCCCCTTTTCCCCTATACCTTACTGCTTCCAATGAGAGCAACTATTCCTTTTCTCTTTAATAGAAATACTTACAAGTTGTAATTTAAAGTAATTGGGGTATTTGTGTCTCTCCCTTGTTCTAAGCTGAACAAAAAGAGAATTTTTCCTGCAGGCCTTTATTTAGAAGAGTCCGTTTAGAGTTGCACTGATGGTGAGGGACCTGGGTTTGTCCCATTTGAAGGATTTGGGCTCCTGGCCAGAAGCACCTGATTTTCCGAACCTAGAGTTAACTGAAACTTAATTCCTTTTGTTGACTTCCTGCTGAGATAACAGGTGGTTCACATGCACAGGCCTTCCTGCTGATGGTGGTAGCTTCTCTCTGTTTCTGGAGACTTGTTTTATGCTGAGGACTACCTGTGGTTTGAAAACCATTGCTTTGAAGGCTGGAATCCCGGGCCAGGGTGCCCTTTACAGCAGCACATGGCCTACCCTGGAACTCGTTCTGTAAAACTTGGCGTTAATTTATTTCTGCACAGAGAATGTTGACTTATAGTTTATTTCTCTTTATTTGCTTCATATCCCGTTTTTGTTTTTCTAAAGCCTGAGAAAGTAATAGTTAGGAATTTATAAGTTTTGTTATTGATATTGGGAGACAAAACTGTAATTTACCTGAATCAAGATGTTTGGGTTTTTTTCAGTATGGTTTTGTGTGGCAAGGCGTCGTAGTTCATGCCTGTAATCCCAGCGCTTTGGGAGACTGAGGCAGGTGGATTGCTTGAGCTCAGGAGTTCAAAACCAGCCTGGGCAACATAGTGAAATCCCATCCCTACCCAAAATGCAAAAATTAGCTGGGCGTAGTGGTGTGTGCCTGTAGTTCCAGCTACTCGGGAGGCCGAGGTGGGAGAATTGCTGGAACACAGTCAGTTGAGGTTGCAGTGTGCCCCGACGGTGCCATTACACTACGGTCTGGGTGACAGAGTAAGACCCAGTGTCCAAAAAAAAAAGAAAAGGAGAATGGTTTTGTTTTTTTCTTCATGTCATAGTTCTGATTGAAAAATAGGCATAGTGGAAATAAGATTGACCAGGAATAATTATTGAAGTTGACTGATGAGTTTATTATATATTCTATCTATTTTTATTTGATAATTTCCAAGATAAAGCATAAGCAGAGACATGTTTTAACACTGTTTTTAAATCATCAATAATTAGAAGTATAATCTTGAATTATTTTAATTCCTTAATATTAAGTGATAATTTTGTCTGTGGAGTTTGTTTTACATACGCTTATTTGTGAGAAAGATCATTTCTGGTGGTGAATACATCTGGGTAGATTAATTGGTGATTATCACTTTTGTAGTTTTCTTTATTTACTTTTTATAGATTATTTGTTTTTGAAAAAAATTATTAATGTTGTTATTATTATTTTTATTCTTTGAGACAGACTCTCACTCTGTTGCCCAGGCTGGAGTGCAGTGGCACAAACTTGGCTAACTGCCACCTCCACCTCCTGGGTTCAAGCGATTCTCCTGTCTTAGCCTCCCAAGTAGCTGGGACTACGGGCGTGCACCACCACGCTTGGGTAATTTTTGTAATTTTAGTAGAGATGGGGTTTCACCATGTTGGCCAGGCTGTTCTCAAACTCCTGACCTCAAGTGATCTGCCTGCCGTGATCTCTCAAAGTGCTGGGACTATAGGCATGAGCTACCACATCTGGCCAAAAAATTATTTTTATATAAAATATTTTTGCACTAATTCATTCCTTCAATAAATGTTATTGAACACTGTTCTAGAGGCTGGGGATACGCAGTGAATGAAACAAAAACATTCTTGAGTATACACTTTAGTAGGGAGGAGACAAAATAAATCTAACAAATAATGGTATTGTGTTTATTGTGATAAGCGCTGTGGCAACATATATAACGAGGGTGCTCTTTTACACAAGGTTGAGGGAGAGTCTTCCAGGTGGCTGGAGAAACAAGGCTTGCAGGTAACCCTGTCATGGCCTTCCTAAAGCAGCATATGCAGGGAATATCAGCAAGTAACTGATGTGTATGGAAAGCTCTTCATTGGGCCACTCTGCTTGATAGGTAGGATTTGGAGACAGATTTATGTAGCTTCTGATACAGCCTGTATTTATTTTTATTTTTATTATTATTTTTTGAGACAGAGTTTTGCTCTGTTGCCCAGGCTATAGTGTGGTGGTACAATCTCGGCTAACTGCAACCTCTGCCTCCCGGGTTTAAGCAATTCTCCTGCCTCAGCCTCCCCAGTAGCTGGGATTACAGGCACTCACCACCACATACAGCTAATTTCTGTGTTTTTAGTAGAGACTGGGTTTCATTGTGTTGGCCAGGCTGGTCTCGAACTCTTGACGTTAGGTGATCCTTCTGCCTCAGCCTCCCTGAGTCCTGGGATTACAGGCGTGAGCCACTGTGCCTGGCCTGATAAAACCGTCATGATGTAGCAATGAGCATCAGGACTGAGGGGAGTAGGAGAAAATCTTTCCTGTGTTCTGTTAATTCTTGCTGGTGGCAAAAAAAAAAAAAAAAAAAGAAAAAAATGTGACACCTTTTCTACCTTCTCTTTGTAATCTTAAAAATTGATGTAAAAGTTGATGTAATTGTTTTATTTATGTCCAAATTTTAAAATTATTTAGGTTTTCTTTGCTTGCTTGAGAAAACACATAAATAGAACTCAGGGAGATACTGTTTTGCTTAACTTTGTATATTACTGTGTACAAAACAAGGGTAGCAAATACCTGTTGGAGTCAGGGAAGTAACTGAAACCTGGCTGAGGTGTATGGGAGTAGAGTGGTGGACCCTGTGACAAATCAGAGGTTTATGCCCTATGTAGAGGGGAGAGGCAGTACTGAACTCTAATTGATTATTGCATGTGAGAATGTGAGTCTGGTTTTGAATTATTTCCTTTTTTTTTCTTTTCTTTTTTTTTTTAAAGGGAGTCTCCCTCTGTTGCCCAGGCTGGAGTGCAGTGGTGCAGTCTCAGCTCAATGCAACCTCCACCTCCTGGTTCAAGCGATTCTTGTGCCTCAGCCTCCCCAGTAGCTGGGATTACAGGCACATACCACCACACCCGGCTAATTTTTGTATTTTTAGTAGAGACGAGGTTTCACCATGTTGACCAGGCTGGTCTTGAACTCCTGACCTCAAGTGATCCGCCCACCTCAGCCTCCCAAAGTGCTAGGATTACAGGTGTGAGCCACCGCATCCAGCCTCTGATTTTTTTTAAGAATAGCCAGGCACGGTGGCTCACGCCTGTAATCCTAGCATTTTGGGAGGCTGAGGCAGGTGTATCACTTCACGTCAGGAGTTTGAGACTAGCCTGGCCAACGTGGTGAAACCTTGTCTTTACTAAAAATACAAAAATTAGCTGGATGTGGTGGCGCACACCTGTTATCCTAGCTACTTGGGAGGCTGAAGAAAGAGAATCACTTGAACCTGGGAGGTGGAGGTTGCAGTGAGCCGAGATCGAACCACTACACTCCACCCTGCTTGAAGGGAGTGAGACCCTGTCTCAAAACAAAACAAAACAAAACAAAACAAAGCAAAAAAACAAAAAACAAAGAATAGCCAGGGCGAGCACTATAATGAATTCTTACTGCCTTCTTCAAGGAATAGTATAGATCTAATAGTCTCGAAATGCTGCAGGATTTCTGGATACAAATGTTTTTAACACACTATATTGTACAGTGGTTTTAGCACACCCTGTGTGGTGCTGAATATGTTTATTTTTGTTGTTTTAGGGTATGGTCAGACAGGTCCAATTTCTCAGCGAGCTGGTTATGATGCTGTTGCCTCAGCTGTTTCTGGTCTGATGCACATCACAGGGCCTGAGGTAGGTATCATTCCTTAGAATATTCATAATTTCATCCCTTACATATTCCAAAAGGATTTTACTCTGCACTAACCCATAGGATTAAACGAGTCATTAGGTTGGGGAAAAGGTAGTTGCTGTTTTTGCCATTGAAAGTAATAATTTTAGAAAGAAACCAGGGAAAGCGAATGCTTATGAAAGTAAAATGGGAAGCGTTCATTGCAAATGTATTCAGGCTAAACATCAATTTGGCCACATGGAAAAGAGCAATGTTTTTAGCAAGAAGCCATAGATCAGATGGTGAACACACTTTCCACATTTATTATGTTATTCAAGCTTAATATAGGCACCTTTATGTGATTTAGGAATATTTCTTCTTTGAAATAAAACAGTTGACTAGACCAGACCACAGATGTCCATTTCACTAGAGTGCCTTCATCTGCCATGTATACATAGCAGAGGGTCTGTTTTTCCTTCTGGAACATTATAGGTAGTTATGTATTTGAAAATTTGTTGCTTAAAGCCTCCCTCAGGTTTAAATGTATCTGATTTGTCATGTGAATGAGATTCTGACAGTGAAATAATTATTTATAATAATTCCTCTCCATTGATATTTGTTTGGGAAGTTCCTAACAAGTATTTAGATGGCCAAAATGTGGTTGGTTAGATTAAAAAAAGACTCTTGGGGAAAACAATATGAATGACGTTAAACAAAGTGAAAAAAAAGTGCTAAAACACACACCATTTCAAAACAAACTAGATTGATGGCCTTAAAAAACTTGTTTCAGTGGGTGTTCATTCCCCAAATCACTTCTTCTAGTTAATTCTTCAGGAAATTTTGCTTGCTGTAGTGTTGGAATAAACTGAGGCAGAGTGACCTCAAGTCTTTTGCAGTCTTCTTTTTATTTAGTTTTACTTATTAATTAATCATTTCTCTTTGCCTCTATTTCCTCATGATGAGATTTACTTTTTATTAATTTCAAAGCAACTGTTGGGGTTTTAATTTCTTGAAATATAAAGTTATTGTCACAACTTTCATTTTAGTTTCATTTTCACAAGTCTTAGGAAAAAAATGTGTGGCCTTTGCTTTTTTTTTTTTTTTCTCTCTTTAAAGACAGTCTTGCTCTGTCGCCCAGGCTAGAGTGTGCAGTGGCATGATCTCAGCTCACTGCAGCCTCCACCTTCTAAGTTCAAAGGATTCTCCTGCCTCAGCCTCCCAAGTAGCTGGGATTACAGGTGCCAGCTACCGTGACCAATTAATTTTTGTATTTTTAGTAGAGACGGGGTTTCACCATCTTGACCAGGCTGGTCTCGAACTCCTTACCTTGTGATCCAGTCCCAGTGCTGGAATTATAGGCATGAACCTCCACACCCAGCCTGTTTTGTTTTCTTTGAGACAGGGTCTCACTCCAGGCTGGAGTGCAGCCTCCATGGCACACTGCAGCCTCCTGGGCTCAATAGATTCTCCAACCTCAGCCTCCCACAGAGCTTGGACTACAGGTGTGTGGCACCAAACCTGACTAATTTTTAAATTTTTTGCAGAGATGATGTCCCGTTATGTTGCCCAGGCTGGTCTTGAACTCCTGGACTCAAGCCATCTTGGCCTCCCAAAGTGATGGGATTACAGGTGTGAGCCACTGTACCCTGCTGGCCTTTCCTTAAAATATTCAAGAGCACCAGTTTTCTTTCCATCCATTGAGAGAATAGAGCATGGACATTTCTCTCATTGCTGAATTCCATAGACTCTCATATGGCCAAGACATTCTTTATTGTGAATGCCTTTATTTAAGGATGTTGAACTCAATTAGGAATATGTGAAAAGATCTGGGATTTAAACATTTGTATATTCAAATGGTAAAATGAATTAAATGAAAAACTGTTGAGATGGGGTATTACTGTAGTTCCTTTAGTACATTGCACTGTAGTCTAACAGGGATAACTACACAGTATATGCTCAACCTTAATTTCTCAGTCAGTAACAGCTTTTATCTCTTGTGTTAGCCTACTCAGATGATTTTTGTTCTAGGTAAGCAAATAACATTTATTGAGTGCTTGGTATGTGCCAAATATTGCTTTATATACTTTCCATGTATTACATTAAGTAAACTTAACTCTCATGCTGTATTTCTTTCACATGGACACATCTTTCATTCCTTAATTAAGTTACACATTAACCTAGTAAGTAGTTACTGCATCTGTTTCCTACCGTACTGTGGGAATGGTGGTAGGCACTGGAGATTAAGCAGGCTACAGGACAATCACAGTCCTTATCTTCCTATAGCTGTTAAGTGGGGAAAACAAACAGCAGAAAATATTTATTACATGCAAATAAAAAGAACTCCGAAGAAGAGTACAGGGTACTATGAACATATATAAATAACAGTGTGCCTTGGGCCATTATTATGCTTCTAAAGATCTCTATAAAGTGTGGTTTGACAGCTAAAGATAAAAGCTGATTGAAACAGAATCAGGCCAGGCTGGGCACAGTGGCTCAGCTGTAATCCCAGCGCTTTGGGAGGCTGAGGCGAGCGGATTACCCCAGGTTCGGTAGTTTGAGACCAGCCTGACCAACATGGAGGAACCCCCTTCTGTACTAAAAATACAAATATTAGCCGGATGTGGTGTTGCATTCCTGTAATCCCAGCTACTCAGGAGACTGAGGCAGGATAATCGCTGGAACCCGGGAGGTGGAGGTTCAGTAAGCTGAGATCGCGCGCCATTGCACTCCAGCCTGGGTGACAAGAGTGAAAACTCCGTCTCCACAAAAAAAAAAAAAAAAAAAAAAAAAAGAAAAGAATCAGAAGAATCAGGCCATGCTGGGAGTCCCCCTTAAGAGAGTTATTTTCTCTTATCTTATCAGCAGTATATTAACAATTCCCTAAGCCTCTCACGGCAGAGATTGTTACAGGAAAGCACTTCTGAAAGGCCCTGGGTAACTCTTTTTAACCAGCCGATGCACACACATCTTTGGCAATTATTTCATTGTGGTAGGAACTTTTTCGGCTAACTGCGAGCCATGTATCTGTGCTGTTAGGTAACTGCCAATGTGTCAGATGAGTGATTGGGACCAGTTTTCTACTGACATTAGGAAGTCTTCTCCACGCATCACCCTACACCGGCCTGGAGCGCCCAAGTTTTTCGCAGGGTTTCGGTCAGGGAAGGATCTTGGAGGGCCATATATTTAGGGTAGGATCGCTGGTTAAAACATTAAGCGATTAGCAGATTAGTGTTTTTATGCATGGTTATTGCATGGTGTTTGTGTTGGAGAGTTGGTAGTTTTGAATAAGGCCAAAGAAAGCGGCACTGGATTATTGTGAAAAAAAGTGGGCAAATGTGGGGTTTGGGAGTAAGAACAGTGGCTGAACGTTGAGCAATGGG